CACGGCTGGCAGTGAGTGTTCGCTCTGAGGGTGACCCGCTGCCTTCAGACTCGTGTGGAACATCGACCCCTCGAGCGGAGCCCTTGCTGGGGGAGAAGAGGGCGGTGAGGGGCTCCTGGGGGTGCGGGCAGCTGCCTCCTGCCTGTGCAGACACCTTGGAAGTGGGTGCACCTGAGTGTAAGGTGGTTGTGAGCTCTTACCCTCTGGGCTCTGGTCATGCAGCTCTGGCCTCTCCCACAGGTTCTCAGTGTCTTTTTTTTTGCATATTTTTCCTTTTTTTTCCTGTAGCCTGTTTATATTTTGCTGTGGCAGCAGCTGTGCTCCCTCCGGAGCAGTGGCTCCATGGGGTGACCGTGTGCTGGGAAGGAGATTAGGGATCCTGAATTGTTTGAGGAGCCTGACACAGTCAGGAGGTTGATCAGTGGAAGGAGTGACGTTGAGCTGCAAACAGGTCAGATCTGGACCTACTCTCTAAAGAGAGTTTGACTTAATTTTGTTGCAGTCACGTGGTAGAAATGTTTACCTGCCCGAGAGGGGGATGATGAAAGGAAGAGGAGAGGGCTGCTCCCTTCTGAGAGAGGCTCTCAGGTTGGTGGAGCAAGGTGGGTTATAATAGCTGTGCTCTTAATTACTGTCTTGGTGCCGCCCTGGGGCTTCTCCCTCTGCTGCAAAACATCATCTCATTCCTGTGCAATAAACCCAACTTCTTTTAACGACCCTGTCCCCATCGGGCAGGTGCATCTGGTGTTGATGCTGTTGAAGATGATGAAGGGAGTGGAGCATCTCCCTGCTGAGGAAAGGCTGAGGGAGCTGGGGCTCTTTAGCTTGGAGAAGAGGAGACTGAGGGGTGACCTCATTAATGTTTATAAATATGTAAAGGGTGAATGTCAGGAGGATGGAGCCAGGCTCTTCTCAGGGATGCCCAATGGTAGGACAAGGGGCAATGGGTGTGAGCTGGAACACAGGAGGTTCTGCTTCAACTTGAGAAGAAACTTCTTTCCAGTGAGGGTGACAGAGCCCTGGGACAGGCTGCCCAGGGAGGGTGTGGAGTCTCCTTCTCTGGAGACATTCAAGACCCGCCTGGACACCTTCCTGTGTGATCTCATTTAGGTTCCTGCTCTGGGAGGGGGGTTGGACTGGATGATCTTTTGAGGTTCCTTTCACTCCCCAAGATTCTGTGTTTCTGTGATTTGGTTTTTAAGCAGACTGAGCCTGTCTGTGTCAGAGAGTTTTAATGGGGTCTGTGAAGATGAACAACGTTTCAGCACAATAACCTCTCCTGCTGCCTCCCCTCGTGTTTCAGGCCCTTTAGAGCTGGGTTAGTTATCTGAAGTGCAGTTTTGTTCTGTCCGAGCCTGTGAGGTTGTGACTGGGTACAAGATCGCTCTTCACATGCCAAGTATCTTGAATTCCTGTCCCTGAGAATCTTTGAGTGGTGAATGCTGGAGGCAGGACACGGGCACAGATTCATCTTTGGTCTGTGCCGTGAAGGGATTTGTTTCTCAGGAGCACAGTGTAGAAATGTCAGTCACCTGGGAGGAAATTAATACAAAAGTCCATTCTCTCAGCCCAGGAGGAATGTCTGTGGATTGGAGATTTCCTGTACCAAATCTGATACCCTTTGGGTATGAGATTTGAGGGGTTTTTTAACTTCTGGATACTCTTCAAGCCGCTGGAAGCTAAATCTCTGGGACTGCAGACATTTCAGGTGGTTTTATTAATAATGTTTTGGGGCTGGACTCCCCTTGGTGAGTCCAGAGCCCCTGGTTTGCTAATATAAGAAACAGTTTCCCATGGAACAGCACAGTGTGCTCCTGGGTGTGTGATTCCCTGATGAAATTCAACTGAAACTCGTGTGCTTTCCTCCTGTTCCTTGCAATTTGTTTTCCTTGTGAGCTTGTGACTTTGCAGGTGTGTCCTGCAGGGCAGGAGAAAACCTCCTGGGCTAACAGCTGAGATCTGGCTTCTGGAAAAGTGGCAGAACAAATGCTGCCCTGAAAGTGCCATGAAGGAAGATAAGTGAGGCCTTGAGGTGTGGGGGGTTTTAAACACCTGATCTAAGGACTGTGCCTTTTCCACCACGCTGGGTAGATGGAGTTGGTGCTGAGGAATAAAGTTGCCAGAGTTGTCTGTGGGGTGTTGCACATACTGCTGTCAAAATGTGCAGAGAATTGAGGTGTCCTCAAGGCAAGGATTGAAAGGATGGTTAAGATGGGTCGTGTTTAGAGAAAACATAACAGTGTCAAAGACATTAGTTCTTGGATGAAAAATAATCAGAACACAACCAGCTCTCTAGGAGGGGGGTGTGTGTTGGCAGAGCCTGTACAGAGATGCTGCAGCATCAGCTGGGCTGCTCCCGACAGCACTGAATCACCTCGGGGAGGGCTGAGGGCAGAGCAGATGTCACAGGGCCCAGCCAGGCGTCTCAGACCCCTCACAGATCAGGTACCTGCACGTTTTCACTTACAGAGCTCTGTTTTGCAGCGCCAGGGGATTGGAGAGCCCAGCGTGTACCACGCCGTGGTGGTGATTTTCCTGGAGTTCTTTGCCTGGGGGCTGCTGACCACACCGATGCTGACGGTGAGTGCGTCTCCCTGGGAGTAACACTGGCTCTTGCAGACTAGAGTTTGGCTTGGGCTGGTGAGGGCAGAGATCTTACTGTAGAGCTTTGGAGTGTAGGAAGTAGAAGCCCAGATGTAATGGTTTGCACATGAAATTTTTTCTGTATGAATCAGCTGGAGTTACAGTGATTTTTTTTATGGAGTCAGGCAATTATTTTCTTAACTATTGTACTTTAACTTGGAGCAAAGCATGAGTTAGATTTCTTTTTTCCCCCCCTAGGTGTTACACCAGACTTTTCCTCAGCATACATTCTTGATGAATGGCCTCATTCATGGAGTCAAGGTAAAGAATATTCCTTCCAGACTTTGATCTGAACCTGGGAGCAGTGTAAGAAGTGGCAAAGCGTTATAATCTGTGTCGTTTGCTGATGTCAGTCAGTATTTGACAGATAAGTGTCCCTATTTCAGACTGGGGTAACACAGAATGAAGCAGAGCACAGAAATCCTACTGAACCGTGTTAGCAACGTGCTGCTTGTCAGCATGAGTTTGGGGCTGTGACAGCTGTGTGTTTCCACTGAAAATATTCCAATCAGCGTGAGCTCAGCCTGGTAACGTGTTCTGGAGCGTAACAGAATTAAAAAATCAACAGCATCTGAACTTAACAGCAATAGAAGTTGAAACTAAGCGGGTGTTAGTGACTCTCCCCAGGCAGATATGCTGTGGCACAGGACGTCAGTGCAGGGAGTTTGGATGAGACCAGCATTCCCAGGAGAGAATTGGAGGCAACCCCAGTGAGCAAGCAGTGGCCGTGTGTTCTGACTCGGGAATGTGGCAAAACAGATTGTTAGTCCCTGGCTCTGGCAAGTGTATCTCAAAAAATGGCCCCAGAGAGGTTTGCTTTGATGTGAGTTGGGTGCTCCCAGGTACACTTAAGGGCTCTTCCCTGCCTGTCTCGGGTTTGAAAGACGTTGAGAAGCACTGAATGATTTTATTTGTGCTTAATGGCCTTGGCATCTCATCGGGTTTGCCTTCTCTCCATCTAAGAGAGAAAGCTTTCCCTAGAACCACAGCAGATGTTAATGTGGTGGAGCTGTGCCAACATCTTTTTAGGTACTGTCAGGGCAACTCCCTGCTGCACAGACGTGCCTGGGAAGATCACAGCTGCAGGCTGAGCAGTTGCAGAGAATGGGAAATAATTGGAGTGTTTAACAACACCTAGCTGGATGAGGATTGTTCTTTTTTTCTCCCTAAAAAAATGTGAGCAGTTTAACAAACTCTTCT